GAGAGCAGCCGCAGAAACAACAGACTTGGCAGCGGTCGCACAGGGTGCGGAGGCTAGGAAGCCGGGAGGCGGACGCGCCCAAGAGTTAGGGAGCTGCGGCCGGCTGGGGCCCGGTGCGCTGCAGCCTTCGCCGTTGCCTAGGCTGCTGCTGCAGGGCTTGGAAGCGGCGGCGGCGGCGGCGGCGGCGGCGGCAGCGCTGGCCTCTAACCGGTTCGCTCGCTCCCTCCGCGGCTCTTACACATGTGTTACTGACAGAGCAAAATCCCAACTACTCCCCGGCTCTGCCGCCGACGTCAGCGACCCTCAGCCACTGGGCGGCCGGATTGTTCAGGCGGAATAATAAAACCTGCCAATCCGGGGAAGGACAAAGGGATGACTGAAACGAGAGTGGGGTGTGGGCGGAGCGGAGGAAGGAGCGCGGCGGAGAAGCGGGCAGTGAAAGGAGAAAGCAAAGGCCGAAATCAGGTGGAGAGGAGTGACTGGGGCACCCAGTTCCGGGGACTCCGCCGGAGCCCCTCTTCGTGGCTTGGGTGGGGAGCGGAGGTTGCGGAACGCCCGCACTTGCCCTCACAGTGTGCTGGGGACTTTTGGTCTCGCACCGCTCGGCCCTCGGGAATTACCCTTCCCTTGCTGGAGATGAGGCATTTGGTAAACTTATTTGACGTCTTGCTCAAGAATGAATCCCTGTTTGGAAAAAAAGTCTTCCCGAAATCCTAGGTTTCTCTATCTCTTTCTTTCTCTATCACACACACATACACACACACACACCCTACATGCAAAAGAGATGATTTGAATTTTGGAGATTTGTGAACACTAGTGGAAGTTTTGTTAACAGGGCAAAAACTTAATAAGGGAAGTGGTAACTACCGAAAATCTGTTCTCTTCAACCACTCTCCTCCCCATTAACCCGAGTATAAACTAAGGGCCTAGTAGGAATTTCAGAGATACTTGTCAATTGCTGGTGATTATAAAGAGATCACATTCCTTATTTTCAAAGAGGAAGAAAACTGCATTGGCAAAGTCACTGCCCCTCCATCTACCCTGCCCTGGAGGATGAGAGGCCGAATTTCTCCTACGCCCTCAAAAGCAATGAAAGTAATTGCAAGATTCTCAATCCTGTAGGCTCTGGAGAGTAAGAAGTGTTACTCCTAGTATAAATCAAATTTTGAGGAACGCTTTAGCCTGAGAATCTCTGTGTAGGGCAGAAACTCATAGATGCTTGCATACCAAGCCATTCAACTTTATCTGTACTGCCAAATAGGTTTAATAAATCTCCAATCTGAGGCTAATATTAGGTCTGATTATTATTGGTAAGTTCCAGAGAGATTTTTTTCGGGTGGAAATTATGAAAATGCAAAACTCTACTGCTAAGTATCATTAAATAAGATCAGCCTTGTGAGACAAGTCTTCTTACTGTATTACACATTGCTTGAAGAAAGGAACCTGCACAAGTTATCTGGCTAGACAATAAGGATGTTAAACATCTATGGCTTTAGTGTGTGGAGGAATTCTGTCTTTCAAACCAACAAAATTAAAACTGCCCAAGAAAGAACAATCATTGCCTATATCATGAAACATTTAAATACCAATTAAGATACTTGTTTATTATATATTCCTAACACTTTAAAATTAGAGGACTTCATTTTATCTATTGGAATTTTAAATTGCATTATTCAATTCACCTTGTGCATATATGAAAAATATTTTTTAAAAAAATCATTGGTACAGTAATAGCAATTAAAATCTCCTGTACAGGACATAGCTTCAGATGTGTGTGATTTAAAAATGCCAACTTAAAAAGATGTAGTGTTCCTTGAAGGTTAGTCAAGAAAATTCAATTAAATCAAATGAGGAAAGGAACTCCATAGGCAAATAATAAGCAAATTTTAATTCCCTGGTTCAGTTTTCAATTTGCTCATAATTTATAATAATCAAAACGAGACAACCCAAGATTTTAGTGTGTTACAAGTAAGTTATAATTTGTAATATGAAGTATATTTCCTTCTCTGGGCCTTAATTTTCTCACCTGCAAAATGAGAGAATTAAACCAAGTGGTCTTTATTTTTTTCTTTAAAAATTGTTTTCTTAAATAGATACATAGCTTTGTAATGAATACTGGTACTCGAGGTATTTCCTGAAGTATGTACACTGAAGTGAAATTTTAATTTTAAAATGAAATGTGAGAAATTTAACTAGACACATGTTCAGGATCCAGGTAGTCTTTGTTCAAGGAAAGAATGTTGGATAAAAGTTCAACTGTAGATCTCTAGGTTAGAAGGAGACTACATTTTGGGGGTAGTGGGGATTTTTTGTTTGTTTGTTTTGTTTTTTGTTTTTTAGTATTTTGTCACTGACTGTGTGGAGTGATGTTTTTACATATGTCCAGATAGTGAGAGGAGCTCTGGTGGCATAGTGCCTAAGGCATTTGACTGCTAACCAGAAGGCTGGTGGTTCAAACCCACCAGCCACTCCTCAGAAGGTTGGGCAATCTACTTCTGTAGAGATACCACCTCTGGAAACTCCAGTCAGATCCGACTCGCCAGCAGTGAGTTTTTTTTATTTGCTGATGTTGTAGTTACAGAAATACAAAAGCCATAATGGCTTACAGTCTCTCTTTTGAGGGATAGGAAGTAAATGCATTCACTGTAATCAAAATTTAGGTGTACTTTAACCAACCACAGCGCCACCTCTGGGTCGTCTTCATTTCTGCAGTGTTTGATTTAGCAGTCCTAGTGGATCAGTGGTTAAAGCGCTTGCCTGGGACCGTAAATGTCACCACTTAGAACCCACCAGTTGCTCCACAGGAGAAAGATGTGTCATTTTGCTTCTGTAAAGACTACAGCCTTGGAAACCCTCTCAGGCAGTTATACTCTTCTGTGGGGAATCAACTAGATGGCAGTAGGTTTGAGGTTTTTTTTTTTTTTTGCCTTTCTAATCTAGGTAGCAAGATTTGTGACAGGAAAACGCCTGCTTGAGTGAGGTAGCAATGTCAATCTTTTCTTTCCACTGGTGCTACTACACACAACAACTGCTATAAACACAAAAAAGTTCATTATGAGTAAAGGAGTTTTGTATTCAGGTAACCGTCAAACAGTGCTCAGAATAATTATTCTGGAATAAAGTAAAATTTCCTGAATCAAAATAAAAATGCTATTATGCCTGGCATCTCAAGAAACTTCTGCTGATGTCATATATTCATCATTCAGCTTATTCCCTATGGGAAATGAGAGTACAGTGCTTTGGGAAAGAAGGAGAAATTCAAATTGTTCCTTTCTTGAGCCCTAATTAAATTTAGGAACCATATTGATCCTAGAAAAAGCACTCATTCCACCTACCTGTCCCATAAAATTTGTCCGTAATGTCCCTTCTCATTTAAGTCCTTCAGTCATAATCATTTTTCCATTTTCCAATACATAGTCTCTAAGAACCTCCCATGGACAGCCAGAGTTTCCACATAGACCCGTGTTGCCTTCAAAGCCACGGAGGAGGGCCAAACTTATTTGATGCTGATATGGCAACCTCCAACACAAAGTGCCCTCAGCTCTTTCTCAAGAAATAATATTTTATCCTTTAAAAATCAATGTAAAACTGTTTTTGAAGGAAGTTTTGTTGTTGTTTTTTATTTTTTTTTTTTTTTAGGAAATTAAAAAAAAAGAAAGAATCTGTACACCTTTATTGCTGCCACCACAGAGATTTTTTTTAACTAAGTCAGCTAAGGTGAAATCAAAAAGCTTGAGTCTAGGACAATAGCTCCAAAATGTAAAAGGCATAAAGAGGGAACAATAGTTACCAAGAGATCCTAATGAGAAAACCCAAGGAGGAGGTATGGTGCTTAAGTCTATGCCAGCTTCTTTGTGTTATTTTTATTGGTGCCGTTGGGGTGATGGTAGGAGTAAGTAAATAGAACTGGCAGACCACTATGGCATTTAAAAGTAGGGGTTATATGGAACTCAGCATCTCTAAAAGAATATATTTCAAAGAACCATCTTCTGGGTTTAAATATTGATACTATTTTAAACTTATTGACTGCCTTTTGTTGTTCTCAAAAATCCCTTCTGAATATCTCACTAAATGTTTCATGTGATAGAGGGATATATAGTTCTTTATTAGAATATTTAAAAAAAAAAAATCCAAATGACTACATTTGTTAGCCCCACCAAATCATGTTAACCAATACTTAGGAAGTTCTATCCTAACCTCTCTTTCATAGGGTAATATAAAAGCATAATGAAGATGTTGTATGGCAATAAAATAATTGAAAGATCAGTGAGGAAAACAAAAGACCATTGATATTACTGTGATTAAGATGTAGATTTTCCTTTTAATTATTCTATTTGGTTAGAGCATTCAAAACACCTTGAGATGATGGGAAAGAAGAAAACATCTGTGACACGCATTTTGTGCGACATATAATATAGGCCACCTATATTATAGTGGCAGAAATATGACTCATTTTCTTCATATGTGTTTATCTGGGTAATTAAAAATTCCCAAAATCTTCCTTAGAACTATAGGGGAATCTTGATACATGGATGTATTTCATAGTGATGGTAAAAGCAAAACCAAGGCCACTGCCACTGAGTTGCTGCTGACTCAGTGACACTGAAGGATAGAGTAGAACTGCCCTACAGGGTTTCCAAGGCTGTCTCCATTGTGGAAGCAGACTGTCACATCTTTCTCCCACTGAGGTGCTGCTGGGACCAACCTTTCTGTTAGCAGCAGAGCACTTTAACCACTGCGCTTCCAGGGCTCCTTTATAGTGATAGTACATAGGAAAATATTGGCCCAGTCATACTATCTACTTCTAGGACTGAATTCTGCCAACGGTATTGAAACACAATGATATTTTCCACATGTTATTGCAA